AGGGAAAAGTTAAACTCTGAATCCCAGTTAGGCTTGTTTTTCTGAATTTTTCTGTCCCTTTATAATCTTTTCTCATGATCCATCATAACTGTAGAGCACAAAAGAGGAAGGCATAGACATGATGAATGATGTCTGTCATTGGAGTTAGCTTTCCAGGTTTCATTTTGTAATTTAGAGTAGCAAAATTTGAAAATGAGAGTTTTCAGATGACATTCTCCTTGATGAACTGCTGAAAGAGGATAATAAAATACTATCTTTTAAATGTTACTTTTGTCAGTTCTTATGAGGTTATTCCATGTCAGATCATAATTCTAGCATCTGGACATGGTGCCTGTTGGTGAAGATCTGTTATTTCTCTGGATCTGTTGAAAGAATAAAACAGATGCTGATGACCAGTGAACCCCACAGCTCCATGCTTGTGAGACGCTCTGTAGTCAGGACATGATGGCATCAGACTAATGAAGATATGAGAGCTGGGAGGGAGACTTAGATAAGGGTAGAGGGTAACCTGTTATTCTAAAACACTAAAGCACATTCCAGAAGAAAACTCTGCCTTGTTTGTCTGTTTACAAACCTACCAGAACATAGATATTCAAGGGATCATTTTTCAGTGGAGACTGCCTTAAGGGACCAGCCATTTGTTTGAATTACTCTCTTTATCATACTATTTCACCTTTTATAATTGCCTTTCATACTCATTCCACATGTTTTTGAATGATTTTAATGATAGTAAATTACCAAAAATGGATTGTAACTTGATACTTGAAAAGTTCCCTATAGCAAAAGACCCAGAGTTTACAATCAAACATTTTTTTGGTCTTTTTGAGATAGGGTCCTCCTGTAGTCCCAGCTACCCTGGAACTCACTATGTAGACCAGGCTGGCCTTGAACTCACAGAGATCTGCCTGTCTCTGCCTCCCGGGTGCTGGGATTAAAGGTGTGCGCCACCATGCCTGACTAACAATCAAATATTTCTTAAAGGTAGAATTACATGAAATTAGCATCTTCCTCAGTAATTTTTAAATAAGTACTGGCAATTTCTTCTTCCGGAAGACTCGTTCTTGGATTGTAATGGGGGATAATATAGAAGCTGACAAAGAGGAAGCCAATCAATAGTCCTACCCAGCTGTAAAGCCCAATATACAACAGTGACTACTGGCCCAGCAAACTATTGCTTATTGGTGCAGTAGTGGTACCTTTATCTTGGGGGTAATCAACAGCTGTCTAATTGGGATTAAGGCCCACATAATGGGATGGAACTCACATGTGGTACTGTAAATATAGCCAAATATACATGGCTGGAGAGGTCATCGATTCTAAAGAAAAACCTACTTGTGCACATCTCTAGACCAACATAAATTCTTACTTTATTCTAAATATGCATCTTCATATTTACAGTGTACCTTTCATCTTTCATCAAAGAAGCTTCTTTTTGCAACAGATGGAGAAATTGCAGAATTCCAGAACTGGTCAAATGCACAGAATAAGTGTTTGTGAGACACTTAACCCTAAGTGTTGCATCTTCAATACAACCTCTACACTTAGGATGAATGCATCTCTCACCTCTCACCAGAGAAACTTCCTCACGAAGCAGATTAACACAGAAACCCACAATTGGCCAATGTGTAGAGAGCAAGAGGTCACAGGGTACTCATCCTGAATAGGACACCTATTTCAAACCTCTGCTTCCCAGGACCCAGGAATCATTACAGAAGAGTAGGCAGAGAGATTCTAAGAGCCAGAGGAGGTGGATGACCTCATGGAAACAGAGTCTTCCAGACAGCTGATCTGTACTTCATATGAACTCACAGAAATGGTGACAGTGTGCACAAGTCCTGTGCAAGCTCAAATTAGATGAAATCCCAGTCTAGACATGGGGAAGTAGGTAAAAAATCTCAATTCAACCTAAGGAACTTTTGACAATTGATGACTGGTAAGACAGTGTCTTACAGGGATGAGACTCTTGGTGGGCCCAGTAGATGGACCCATACTGAGGAACATTTGCTGCGGGCACAACTTAGACTCTATAGGCCATATTTTATATATACACACACACACACACACACACACACACACACACATTAAATTGGGTGGAGACAGAGGGGAAATGTGCGGATAAAGAAGGGAATCTAAATATCACCAAACTACCTTGTATGAAAATCACAAAAATTAAACAAAAAATTTTTAAACATTAAGAAAAGTAGAACGATGTGGAATTAAGATCTTCCTTTGGCAATTTTCAGATGAATATTGGTAATTTCTTGTGGTTCAACCCAATATAAAGGTTGACACATAAAAAATGAAGATCTCCAAATTGTCAAATACCAGAAATAGACTGAAATGTGAAATCTTAGCTAAATTCTGATACTGTGTTTATTTTGAATGTATTAAACTCACCAACCATAAGGATTACCAACCAGGCTAGAGGAGTGAAAGACTCAGGAGCAAGTAAGACAGAAAACTAAAAGTACACTAGTGTCACAAAGCCAAGATTTCTTTAAGTGATGAATTCTCTAGTACAAGATGAATCAGAAAAGAAAAACTTGCAAAGAGAAATGACAAATGCATTTGCCTTGTGCTCAGGGCAGGAAAGAAGTAATCTTTAAGCAGGAGCCTCCTCTAAGTGGCTTGACATTTGAATTCACAAAATCTCTGTAGTAAGAAACTTGTGAGTGCTGAAGTTAAAATTAAAGTAGCTTGTCTCATTTTGCTTCTGAAAGGGGTGGACCATCTTATATCATGCAAGTGTTTTGCAGATCACAGATAAACTAAGACAAGATACAAAGATGATGCATAGGGTAGATGTAGCTGGGCAGGTACAGTGCTTATTGCCTAAGCACGCACAAAGCTCTGAGCTCAATCTCCAACACTGGATAAAAGTGGCAGCATGGTAGCTGTGCCTGTAATTCCAGCACTTGGGAGGGGGAGGCAGGAAGATCAGGAGTTCAAAGTCACCTTTGGCAGCATAGCAAGTTTGAATGTCCTTCTAAGATGAGAGCTTGCCTTAGAAAACAAGGAGGGTGGTGTGAAGTTACTTGACAGACAGGTAGAAATTATAGTAGAGTCAATACTTGGAAGAAGAAAATAATAATTGGTTGGCCTCTAAATTTTACTTATTTCCTTTCTGTATAACCGATTGTTTGCTCATTGTGAAGGAGCCAAACTTAGCAAGAACCCTAAAACCTTGTGATGAGGAATCAGAGAAAAAAATACAAGACCACACCGAAACTGGAACCCAAAGAGGAATCACTGGAAGCTCCTCAACAAAGACATCCCAGGCGCTCATTCATAAACTCAGAGTAATGCATTTGCCCAACACAAGAGAGAATAGCCAAACAGAGACTTCAGCTGTCACCTAGTTCAGAGAAACACATAGTTTGGAGCCAAATAACAGCATGTTAAAGCTAAAGAAAGGGCTGGTGAGATGGCTCAGTGGGTAAAAGTACCTGTCACCAAGCCTGACTTTGACTCCTGGGCCATACATGGTGGAAAGGGAGAATGAGTCCCACAAGTTACCATCTGACTTCCACATATACACCATGGCAGGACCCACTACATAAATAAACAAATGTAATAATAAAAAATTAAAAACTAAGTAAAAATAGTATTTATGGAACTGTAAGAGAATCTAGAATCTTTTCACACATATAATTTTCTCTAACGCATAATTTCTAGACATTCAAAAAAACAGAATATTGCCACCCATATTCAAAGGAAAATGTTCATAATTCAACCCCAAGGTGTTGGAGATAGTATTAGCTAGCAATGACTAAAAATAAAAAAAATCATGCTCAAATAGTTGAACTCAAGACTTCCAGCACAAAAACAGAAACTTTAAGTTAGAACCAAATAAAAACTCTGAAACTGAAGAAGAAAATATTTAAAAGCATAATCCACTGGATTGGTTTATAAGAAAACTGGAGATTTGGATGAGTTAGTAAAATTAAAGACAGATTGAGAGAAATTACCTGATTTGGAAAATAGGAGGGTAAAGATTGAATAACTGGACAGAGCCGCAATGACCTGTGTGTTAATAGAAAATAAATCTCGGTCTTACTAGGACAGACAGAATGGAGTGGAAATTTGGTAAAAGACATAAATGTGCATTTTTAGGAAGCTCAGGTAATGCCAAGAAGTTTTGATATCAAGAAAAGAATGCCTGAGGGGTAGGGACAGAGCTCAGTGGTAGTATGCTTGCTTAACATGCAGGAGGCCCTGGGTTCAGTTTTTAGCATTGCATAAAACAAATAAAGCAGCAACAAAAACAAGAAGCCATGCCTGAGTACTAGCAAACTGCTAGTACTCAGGTAGAGGGAAATCTTAAAAGAATCAGCTACAAGCCCACAACTAAACCCTTGAAACCAAGGAACTGCTGTATAATTCTGCTCAAGACAGTCGAATGATTTGTTGAACAGTTAACTTCGCCTCTGCCATATGTCTAAATTATTGGCAGGGAAAATCACATATGAAACAAGCCACATTTAATCAGCTAAAATTTAAAAATTGAATAAAAGTGAAATAGAAAATATAGAACTAATATAAAAAACAAGTTTCCTGCCTTTATTGTTATGCTTCGTAGTAGAGATACCAATTTCACAAGAAAAATTGGAAAAATGTCAAAAGTGTCTTCATGTTTAAGAATAGCTTATCAAACAATTCAGGTTTTTTTCTAAAAATTGTATTGATGTATATGTGTGTGTCTGTCTTTCTGTATGCATTATGTGCATGCAGTGCTCACAGAGGCCAGAAGAGGGCATCAGATCCCCTGGGACTGGAGTTACAGATGGTTGTAAGCTGCAGTTTGAGTGCTGAGAACTGAACTTGGGTCCTCTACAAGAGCAGCAAGCACTCCTAACTGCCAAGCCTTCTCTCTAGTGCCCAAATGATTCAATCCCCCCAACTTGGAAATATTGAGATTTATAGGGCTGCTTTGTAAGGACATAGCTACAGCACATGACTGAGTAGAACCCTCATATGAGAACTATTTCATTTATTACTAGGCACTAGATGAACCAGCCAAGACTGAAAGCATCTCCAAGGCCTGCACGATAGACCCACCTGTGGAGGTAATGACTTCAGCTCACCCTGCTTTGGTTTGCGATCCTCAAACTCACTGCTAACCCAGTGCCTGGTTTCAATTCTTTCAGTTCTGTTTCCCTGCACAGCTCAGGCAGCAAACTGAAGAGCTCTGTGCTACCATTGATAAGGTCCTGCAGGACTCCTTGTCTCTGGTAATGCCTTAGAGTAGAATGTGCTGTTCAAACATTTGCTTCGCTTCTCTTCATTTCCCTCTGTTTCAATATGATGCCTCATGGGCTTGTTATTTGTCTTTCTCTGTCCTCTTCTTTTCCAGCATTCTTCTGATTCTCCTTTGAAGTCCCCACAGACATTGTTGGGTTCTGAAACAATCAAAGTATGTATGTATTCACTACAGTTTACTGAACCAGAAGATTTAATGCATCAGTGATTTCCAAGCTGTGATACAAAGATTAGTAGTAAACTGGCAAATAAACTCAGTAGCTAGTAACCAGCAGACACAGCAAATGTTGACATTTGCTTGAGCTTATTCCCATGTGTGCGTATAGGCCAGTCTGTCTAGAATTGCAATGAAAATCATTTTCAGCTGTGAATCAAGTTCAAGAGGTTTGAAAGAGTCTTGTAGACTGTGTTGCCGAACATTGTCATTTGATGAATCTATATGTAAAATTTGTAGCTTATATTCATTTTAAACCATAGCTTCAGTGTGAATATAATTTGTAGATACTTAGAACTGTAGAACTGGAAGATAAAGTAACATCAGTCTCACTGCTTTCACACAGGTGCTATCTATGCAATTATCTTCTTACTGACTGAATTTATTTCATTGTTCTGGGACTTAAAGAAGCAGTACTTTGGAGGTTTTAGAGCGCCAGAATTATTATTATTGCATATTTTTTTCTTCTTATAATGTAGCCTTTTTTTTATTGGTTAGGATGTAATACTATGGTTCTCCAAAGCATTATCTTCAAATACTTACTAGTCTCTATTCATCCACATTTCAAAATGCATTTGGTTTCTCTTTGTGGATAATAATTACTGTTTCTTTTGATCATGTTCAGTCTTATTTTCTCTCTTGAAATGAATATAAATACTTTTGGCATGAACTCTTTAAAGTGAAATATTGTGTATCTAAACTAGATTTTAACTATTCAGAATCACTCACAATCGATGTGGGAGTGCCTAGAGATCAGCCTTCTGGCTTCTCATCATTGTTGCCACCAAGTCATGTACAGACTGAAACCTTTGAATGTCAGTCTCTAGTCCAGTACTCTTTCCCAGTTTTTGATTCCCAACTACCCAGTCATTTTTGCATTCAGATTTACAGTAATTTTCTCAAACTTTACATGTATAAGGATGGATTTTTTTCCTCCAGAAGTGGTCCACACACTGCTTTCCCTATCTATTGACAGGATTCAGTCTTTCATTTGCTTACGTCCCTAAACTATGCATCAAGTTTTATCTCATTATCTTGTGTCTCACATCTCTTTTGTTTCAAAATGTCTAGAACATGATTATTTCATCACTCTGAGCTACTAAGCCATCAGTCATCATATTTTGCTGACCAGCACAGTAGCATCATCATTGTCTCGATACCTCACTCGGCTCTGTTCTTAATATATCAAATACAGATCCTGTTAAAGCATTAGTTAATCCTCCTCTATGTAAAAACCAAAGGACCTACATAGTTCCCTTAGAATATAAGCCAAATGCCTATAGTTAATCCTCCTCTATGTAAAAACCAAAGGACCTACATAGTTCCCTTAGAATATAAGCCAAATGCCTTACAAGGCATTTCGTTATCAGGCCTTTGGATGCTCAAATGGTATGTCTTCCCCTGGCACTTTCTACCTTGCACTGAGCCCTGGTATCTTCCTAGCTGTGCCTTGAATGTTCCAAAGATGCTACTGCTTAGCATATTTAGTTCTTTTTCAATAAATTGTATTACGTTTCATAGTTTCTAATTCTCTGTACAAATTTGCATACTTGACTTGACCTCCAAACCCATCGTTAAACTCATGGATTTACTCGGAGAAGGACTGTAAGTACCATGTTGTAGAGACACGAATGTCAGCACCTACTATGCCCATTCTTATGCTTATTATTAGTCACAGTAGCTGTGCACACTGTGGAACCAACCTAGGCATCCAGCAGCACAGAAACGGATGAGAAAAATGTGGCCTCTGTACACGATAGAATTCTTTTCAGTCAAAAGAAGGCTACATTGTATTGTTTGCAGAAATGGAGTCTTAGAAAGACAAATACCACACATTTTCCCTCACTCGTGGTTCCTAGATTTTATATCCTCACATTTTATATCCTCTCATATATATATACACACACACACACACACACACACACACACACAAACACATACATGAGAAGAAAGCAGAGGTGAAGGTGTAAGGAACTACAGGCCTTAAGGGAGGGAAACATGTAAGAAAAGGACAGTGGCTGGAGCAGGGGCACTTGGTACTCTCAGCACAAAGTACACAATTATAAGAAAATAAATAAATGAATTAAATAAGTGAATATACAAATAGATGTTTAAGGTGTGTGACTGCGTATGTGTGTTTCAGTTTGGTTCCAAGAAGACACATGTCAAGGCTCTCTACCAGTTTGCCTTTGTTTATTATTTCTGATCATTCTTATTCACAATATCTTGCTCCTTTGGATATTAGAATAGGATTCTGTGCTTGATATTCTATTTTAAAATTTATTTGTAGAACTGAACAGATATCTTGGATGATATTATGTTCCTATAAGGTTTTCTTCATTTTCCCAGATACTTGAGAGCATTTCTAAAAATTAAGGGTTACCTTAATTTAATGTTTTGAAATTTTATTTTCTAGACAACCATTTTCAGAAAACTCGAGGCCAAGTTAAGACTTTATTAGACAGGGTTCTCTAGAGAAATAAAATCAGTATTGTGCATACATATTTTTAAATGGGATTTATCAGCTTGCTTTACATGAGGACCAGGGCTGGGCAGTCCAGTCATAGTATCTGTAGACAAGGCCAAGCACAATGTGGCTTCTTAGTCCTTGAAGCTTTGTGCCTGAGCAGTGCCAGTTTAGTGCTGAAGGCCTAGAAAACCCCTGCTGTGTATACAGGGGAGTTGATAGTCATTTTTTGAAAACAAAATCAAATTGTGGCTCAGAGTTTCCAGAAAAATGTTTTGCTGTCAGGTACAAGTATGCAGGGATGGGAAAGCCATCAAGGCTTCGGTTGTTGTGTAAGTGAAGTTGCCACAAGAAAGGAGGAAGGTAGGAAAAAAGGAAGTGTTAGACATGAAATGTGTGTAAGCCTAGAAGTAATGCATTAGAATAAAGATAGCAAGGGCAAACCTCTTAGATATCCCAGTGTCACAGATTTGATACCAGGGTATCAGAGGAGTGATGATTTAGGTAAGAGGTAGAGTTTTGAAAAAGGAACATTTATAGTCAGAATTTCAGAGGCCTTCCATATTATTCATGGATGTAAAGTTGGGTTTGGTCCAAAGTAGTTGATGGAATGAGTCGGAATTCCTTTGGATCCCATGAGATCTAGGAAGTGAGAGGAGATATTTCTAGTCAGTTTCGAAACAGCCAAAAATTATGGAAGAAATGTGATAACCTATTACAACCCATGGACTAATATCATCTATTAGGAAATGGAAATTACTGGAATATTGATAAATGGCAACAGTGAAGAGAATGATAAAGGGGCATAATTTTAATAAGCAATTTTCAAAGGTTAAGGGATTTTGTGTAGATTTTATATAGGAAGTCTCAATAGGGAAAAAAGTGAAGCTTGTCTTAGATGCTGAACCTTTCATTACTTACTAACTATCCAGAGGCATAACTATTTTTATTTTCATGCAGGCACCCACCATTCTTCCAAGAGCAGCTGGTCGGGAAACCAAATATGTAAGTACCTTTGTGACCGTGCACATACATATACATATATATGTATATATATGTATATGTATTTCAATTGGAAGCGTGTACGTATTTTGAAAGGAACTCAACTTCATAGCGATTTCAATGAAATTCGTTCACTTTTTCTGCTTTTTGTCTCTTTAATTATCAAAGCTTAGATGACATTTAAGTTTTTCAACAAGCCTATTCTGCTTATTAGACATAGTCAACTCACATGCTTTGAAGCATTTACTATAAACATTTTACTCAGCTATTTTATTTACAAACCATTAAGGCTTGTTCGTTTCCAAAGGTATTGACAATTTGAAGGACTAATCTGTTATTTCCCTGTGTTTAAATTATCAGATAATTCAATTTGGGGGCTAAAGAGATGGCTCAGTGGTTAAGAGCACTTTCTCCTTTCCAGGGGATCTGGGTTCAGTTCTGTGCTGGATAGCTTTAGTTTTCAACTTGACACACCTGGGCAGAGGGATCCTCAACTGGGGAATTTCCTCCATCGGACTGGCCTGTGGCCATGACTGTGGCTCATCTTCATGATTGTTGAGTGATGTGAGAGAGCCCAACCTACTGTGGGTGGTGCCACCTCTGGGCAGGTGGGCTTATGTTGTATAAAAAAGCAAGCTGAGCACTGGTCAGAGGAGCAAGCCAGTAAGCAACATTCCTCCATGGCCTGTGTTCCAGCTCCTGCCTCCAGGTTCCTTACCTGAGTTCCTACCTTGGGCTCCCTGATAAATTGTGACCTGGGAGATGTACGACAAATAAACCTTTTTCTTCCCAAGTTGGTAGTGGCCAGAGTGTTTTCTCATAGCAATGGAGAAATAAACTAGAACAGAAATTGGTACCAGGAGTTGGGTATTGCTGTGATAGAGCTGATGTTGGTTTTTTTTAGGAAGATTGTTTGGAACTTTGGACTGGAAAAGCCATTGAATGCTTAGAGTTTGTTGCTACGGAGCTTGGAACAGTTATGCTGAAAGAGTTGTAGATAATGGAGGACTGTCTTGTGAAGCTTCAAAGGGAAGCAGAGACTATCAGGGCTGTTCATGTGAGATTGTGAGAATCTATGGGTTCTGGTCGACTGGGGCTGAAGAATCAGCTGTGATTAAGAAGAGACCAGAAATTGAAGTAAACATTTGCTTTACTGGGACAATTGATGCTGATTAGCCGGGGCTGAAAAATCATCTGTAAGTAACGAGACCAGCATCTGTGGCAAATTCTTCTGGAAATATTTCCTCATGGTCAGCACACAGAAACTGTGGTCCAGAGGGAGCGCAGGCCTCCATCTCAAGTTGGAAGCAGGACTTGATAATGTGTAAGAGTCTCCTGCATGGCCCTGGTGTTGAAAGCATGAAGCGGTCATGGAGAGTGCTGGGGCTTAGAACCCTGAGAGGTCAGGAAAGGCCATTGGTGAAAGTGCAGGTTCACTTGCAGTGAAGACCCCAGGATTGAAGGGGTCATGGAGAGAAACTGAGGCGTTGCACCCAGAGAGGCACGAAGAGGCCATTGGTAAAGGTGTAGCCTAAGTTTCAGTAGAGACCCCTGCTTTTTGGAGACGTCAGGACCATGGGATGATCATCGAGGGCAGCAGCAGGTGTGGAATGGAGCTGGTCTGGGCCTGTCAGATGAGCTGTGCATGTGCTGTGGACAGCTGAGTCAAGAGGTGGAGCTGCCAAGACCCTTTGGAACCCAGAAGATCGTGAGTGAATCCCAGATGTCCAACCTTCTGCTACTTTGCTGGACTTAGGTTTTGCTTAGTTGTGCCTGATCATTCCTTTGAAATGAGACAGTATTTGTTTTGGACTTTACAGGAGCCCACTTAAGAGCCTTTTTTTTTTTGGTCTTTTTGAGACAGGGTCTCCCTGTAGCCCCAGCTGTCCTGGAACTCACTATGTAGACTAGGCTGGCCTTGAACTCACAGAGATCCGCTTGCCTCTGCCTCCCGAGTGCTGGGATTAAATGTGCGGGCCACCACGCCTGGCTTAAGCGTCTTTTAAAAGAGATTGTAAGCTTTTAAGTGTTCGGATTTTTTTTAAAGACTGTGGGGCTTTCAAGGTTGTACTGTCTTATGTTGTGATATCAGCATCAAATCTTGGGGACAAAAAATGGAAAGGTTGTGGTTTCATAGTTGTATTAGTCAGGGTTCTCTAAAGAAACAGAACTGGTAGAATGAATATATATTTATAGAGATTTATCAGCTTAGCTCACAGGATAGAGTCTGAGTAGTCCAACGGTGGCTGCACCACACTGGAGAGGCTGAGAATCCAGTAGTTGCTCAGTCTACAAGGCTGGATGTCTCAAGAGTCCCAATCTAGTGCTGAAGGTCTGATGAATTCCAAAAGATCAGCTAGTCTTCAGTCTACAACAGCAAGATGACTTGCCAGTGAGAGAGAAGGCAAGTGGCAAAAAGCAAGTGCTTCCTTCTGCCATGGGCTTTTATACCGGCTGCCATCAGAAGGTAACACCCACATTTAGGGTGTGTCTTCCAGCTTCAGATGATCTAATCAAAAAGGTCTCTCTCATTTCAGTTAATCCAAGATCCAGTGAAGCTGACACCCAGGATTAGCCATCACAATAGTGATATATTTGTGTGTCAAGTTCACAAGTGGTCAGTTGTGCTGGAGAGCTTTAGTTGTCAACTTGATACATCTGGGTAGAGGGAGCCTCAATTGGGGAATTTCCTCCATTGGACTGACCTGTGGCCATGTCTGTGGGGCATCTTCTTGATTACTGAGTCAGATGTGAGAGGGCCCAGCTTACTGTGGGTGGTGTTGCCCCTGGGCAGATGGGCCTGTGTCAACAAAAAAGCAAGTTGAGCATGGGCCAGAGGAGCAAGCCAGGAGGTGGCATTCCTCCATGGCCTGCGACTTGGTAGCTGTAAGACAAATAAACCCTCTTCTCCCCAAGTTGGTAGTGGTCAGAGTGCTTTCTCACAGCAATGGAGGAACAAACTAGAACAAGTTCCCAGCACCTTCCTGGTGGCTCCCAACACCCTGTTCTGGCCTCTATTGGCACAAGGCATGCACATGGTGTATATACATCCACATAGGCACTCACACATAGAGTAAAATAAAATAAATCATAAACAGCAGGAACAATAAGACCTAAACCAACAATGGATTTGTAGATATGGACTCAGGTTCTTCCTTCACATGGTGTGGGTCTGTGTCAGTGTGCTAGGTGTGCATGACTCACCCACTAGCCTCACTCCCCAACTGCTTCTGCCAAAATACATTCTGGTAGGAATGAGATAGTTTCCTAGCAAGTGTTGAATATTTAGTCTAAAATAAACCAATAAACTATTCACTTTAAAGCTCATGTTATTTTCTATGATACATGGTTTTCATCATTATCAAGAATAAATAGTTATGAAATGTGCATTTTGTGCCATGCTGTCATCTTACTCCACACATTTCTGCCTTCATTGAATCTCCCCTAAGGCAAATAATGTGCTCGGCAAAAGTACTGAATTTTATCACATTTAGAAAATTATGTTTAGAAAATGTGGCAGGGACACCATTTAGAGTGTTTCCTGGAAGCTTTCTTGGTTACTTTCCATTATTATTGGAAGCTCTTTGGAGGCATGCTTCAAGAGATGCTGGCATTCAGTAGGCCAGACCCAGGTCAAAACCGTGACTTCCAGGAAGTTGATTGTGGAAAAATCACTTATTTTCCCTTGCTGTGACTTCCTTCTTCATCCATAAAATGGGGGATGGTGATAACTTTATCTGATTAAGACTTTTATTAGTCACCATACGAAATGCCCTTAGTGTAGTCCCGATACGTAGTTATTTAGGAAGCCAGTGTCTCCGTTTCTTTCCACTTCATTTTTGCCTTTATGCATACCTTCTCTCTTCTCTTCCACCTGTCTGTCCTTGGAAGGCTAGAAGCATCATAGTTGGAGTTCCTTGATTCTTCAGTAAGCACAAGGAAACAAACAGCTCTTAAAATATTTCTCTAGGTTTTTGTGTGACTGATAGATTCTATAGTCATAAGGGCCAGTCCCAGGAAAAAGCTTCTAAAATCTTTCTCTCTAACCTTTTCTCATCTATTGCTGCAGTTTCCCAAGGTATTTCTTATTAGACTAATTTTCAAGCATGATCACGGAGCTGTTAAATTCTAGATGCCCACCCCCTCCGGGGTGTGTGTGTCTTAGTTTGATAGCAAATGGAAAAATTTTGGAGGCACTTCTTCAACATCTACAGTTGAGATTATTTCAAGTAATTTTTTTTTTTTTTTTGCTGTCTTTGAGATAAGGTCTTCCTGGAGCCACAGCTGGCCTGAAAGTCATTCTGTAGAGGATGCTGGCCTTGATCTAACAAGAACTGCCTGCCTCTGCCTCCTGAGTACTGGGGTTAAAGGCATGTGCCACCATGCCCAGCTTTATGAGTTTTCGTTTGACTATTTCTCATTTTGTTTTATTTTTTTGGTCCTTTGCAAATAATTTTTCTTATAATGTTTTGTTTTTGGCATGGATATATGTGTGGTACATACATATGTGTGGGCATGGGGGGCAGAAGTTGACATCAAGGGTTTCCTTGATTCCTTTCCCCTTTATTTACCAAGGCAGGGGCTTTCCCTTGAAACCAGAGCTTGCTGCTTTGGTTAGCCGAGCTGGAAAGTTTGCTTCAAGACAGCTTGTGTCTGCCCCCTGAGTGCTGACCTGTCATGCCCACTAGGCTTTTACCCTTGCACAGTAACTTATTTACTGAGTAAGTAACTTTTACTTAATAAGCTGTCTACCCAGGCCCTCAAAATATTCTTTATTATTAGACATAGTCAAAATAGGTTATCTTTCATTCGCATAACTTTGAGAGCATTTGAGTCACTTAACTGTGAGTCATTAAACAAATTCAGTCTAGATTAGAACAATTTAAACTCCAAATCCAGGAAGATTCTTGACCTGAATTAAAGTTTCTTTCTTGAACAAGAAGCTTTTGTTTTTGCTCTTATAACATGACATTTGAATTGTTGCGTGTGGCACCTCAGATATG